CCCAGACTCATAGTAACCTCACCATCTTCTCCATAACACAATCATGACTACGAGTAGCCTGCACACTCTCCTCCATTAGTTAATCTTTCTTCCCTTTCTCTTCGCCGCAATGTTGCTTCACTCTCTCTCTTTTACAGGTACTTTAACGGGCAATGTTCGGTGGATTTGGCATCCTGTGTACCGCCGGCAAGGCCGTGGGCTCATAATACATGTTTTGCCGGCGGTGCCCACCATTACTCTATGGATGTCGGTCACACAGAAATGGAAGCCTCAACCCCACGAAAGAAAAGGAAGCCCAACTGAACAGCAGACCAGAATTTATTATTGGTGGATGCCATCAAGAAGAAAAAGTTAATACTGAATAGAAGCTTCAAGCCTTTCCTGAATAATAAAGACAAAAAAGAGGGGGTGGCTGGAAATCACCATGAGAGTCAATGCTGCATTTCCTGGTGTGGTGAGGTCAGTGGCAGAGTGTGAGACACGCTGGTTCTCAGTATTGTTCAAGCCAAGAAAGACTATCTCTGCTATAAAAAGGTAATACACACACTATATTCAATATATACACACTACCTACATTCATTATATATATCTCTCCTTTCCCAATAAATGCGTAGCCACTGCTGATGTTGTTGTTGATTCGCCATGGTATCAACTAACAGATGACTATTACGGGACTTATAAGTGCTCCCGAGGTCTTTTAACTTAACAGATCTCTTAAGGCCGTTAAAATTGGGTGTTCACCGAGGCCAGGGTTGAGGTAAGGCCGGGTGATAGGACACAGACATTCCACCACCACAACACTCCGAGACTCATAGCACACGAGCATGGAAGGAAATTTTAACGAATTTTGACATGACATGCACCTGCATAACAAAATTTCATTCATAATATTGTTGACACACAATGTTTCATATCCAAGACATTATGAAGTGAAATTTAAAAACTAAAAGCAGCAGTAGACAGGAAACAAGGCAAGTGACCAAGAAGTAGTCACTAATGATGACACACGGCCAGGCATCTACGCTGAGCGTCCAGGTCTTCGGCATAGTCGCTGCTCCGGACCAGACAAAAATTGTTCGGGTGATACCATGATTAATGTGAATCGCAACATTCCAAGCCAAAATACTCCAATGTAGTTACTGATACACCAATAAATATTGTAAACATGACTACAGTCTCTCCTCGACTTACGAGGGGGTTCTGGACCGACGACCAGGTCGAAAGTCAAATTGGTCGTAAGTCAAAAAGGTGAAAATAATACATAGAAAATCTAAAATGGGTGTCTCTTTTTCTTCTCAGCACCACGAGAACTCTCACTTATACGCTTGCCAGCCAATTTAAAGGGAATTACAAACAAAAATTTTGTCAGTACACCGTGCAATCACTAACGTCAGGACTCGAAAATAGGTAATTTGAAAAATATTTTATACGACTGCGGCGATCGTATGTCCAGGTGATCGTACATCCAGTAGGTTGTAAGTTGAGGAGTACCTGTACAGTGATCCCTCGGTTAACGAGCGCCTCGGTTAACGAGATTTCGGTTAACGATTTACCTTCCATAAGATTCTTAACTTCGGTTAACGAGCAATCCCTCGATTAACGAGTTTTTTATGAGCCGACTTCAACATGTTTTTGCTTTCATTTGGCGGTCCACCAGCTGTAGTATTAGTCCGCCAATACAGTAATCGGTTTTAGGGCTTAAATTCCTTACTATTTTAGTAAATATCAAGTTTATACTATTCAATAATTTTAAAAGTTTAATATTAACTTTTTTAGTCATTTTAACAATTATTGAACAAAATTGAAGGTAAAGAAACTAGTTTCTGGCGTACCATCCAGCCTGTTAGCACACCAGACAGGCGTTAGTCTCTCTCTGTTTTCAGTGGAGGTAACATCTTGCTTGAGACTCTCTTCAACTAAACACTTTTTTTGTGTGTTTCCAAGCAAATTATTGGTCATTTTTAAATTTATTTTACATATTGACAATATGTAATGCAGTGCAGTGTATGGGTGAAATGGTGCCATGGGGTGACTTCTCTTCCACCCCAATGCCTTCTCTTCTCCCTTCTCCTTCACCCCCATTCTAATTCCCATCATCATCATCCAGGAGCCTTCTACAAACACACCTCAAAGTAAGTGTACTTTTCTACCTTTTTTGTTGAATTTAGGCAATTTTCGGTGAGCTGGAACCAATTACAGTACCCAAAAATCCATTGAAACAATGGTTTCGGTTAACGAGTTTTTCAGTTAACGAGCAACCTGCTGGAACGGATTGTGCTCGTTAACCGAGGGACCACTGTATATGAATTCCTAGTATTGTATGTGTTACCGCAAGCAGTATTGAGTAGGATGACACATAAACAAACATTATGTTAGGCTGTAAGTCATGTCATGTTTATTGGGTGTGCCTGCCCGCATACAGTATATACTATATAGAGTATTGAGATGGTGGAGAGGGAGAGACCCGGAGGAGGTTGAAGCGTGTAAGGGGAGCTTGTTTATGTATAAACACCTGACTCAGCCCTCGCCTGGGCAGGCGACACAGGTTGGCACTGTAGTTATCCAGATCATAGAGGCAACACCTAACCTGTTTTCTCTTGAGACTTTCAACACTTAAGTTTAATTGGTACTTATTGTGTACACAGGTAGACTGTGTCCATTCCATCGTTTATCATTGTGACAACATAAAATATGGCAAATTAAGTACCTGTACTCATTGTAAGTGTTAAGATTAGACTAATTACAGAGCTATGATTGTTATGTAATTATATGTTGGATTATACACTTATGTATCATTGCCTATGTATGATTTATTTCAAATACTGTACTAAAATTAATTGAATTCAACAGGTTTGACCAAATTATAACGTTCGAGTTTAACGTGAAGAGTCTGATTAACCTTTAAACGCTCAGAAAGCGTTTACAGTATGTGTGAAACCATAATATTCCCAGGGTTATGGCAATATCTATACATGTATAGGTTTCACCTTGTTGACTGACCGCTCACTCCCTCTTGACGAAATTCGGCTGCCAGCCACCCTTTATCAGTGGTAGAAATTCACATACACTCAGTCGCCCAAGGTGACCAAAATATCATAAGGGCGACAAGATTTTACTATTTTGCTGGTCTGGGATCGCCCGATGGGCGAGTGGGCCGATGACAGTGGTAAGACACACTCAATGTGTATAAGAGCTTCATATTGAGAATACCCTATTAATGCTAGTTATCTTAATTGTATCACCGGTATTGTAAGAGGAAGGGAAACCCATTTTCTGTATATAACACTTTATATGAAAATGAAAATAAAATATATACACTCAATGATATAATGTAGTGTGATAAAACTGGACAAATGAGTTGGTGCAATGCCACCTAGAACACCAGGCCGGTTCAGGGATTGTATGACGTCACACACAGATACACCGCTATTCATGTCGGTGTATGGAAACCGTGCATTGTAATGAATAAACGCAGTCTAATTAAGTAGATATACAATTATTATTGAGGAATTCCTTTCTATACATAATATATAAAAGCAATGACGGCAAAATTTAATACCTGAATGTAAAATAGGCAAGAATAAAAACAATTGGCATGTGATGAAAACTGCCTTTCCATCAACAATCACACCATTTATTATCAAAAACAATTTTAAGTAAATATTCAGATTATCACCGATACAAACAAGATATCAAAAAATAATAACGCGTACGAAATTTGACAACCAATTCACACATAAATTAAAAATCAAATAGTAATTGACTCTTGTATTATAGAACAAAGTGAATTATAAAGATATACTGTAGTATCAGAATTTGGTCAAGGTTAAAAGCTTTCACATTCTTATTTTTTACTCTAACGTTATCATTATTTCTTTTGCATAAATTATATATTATTATTAATATCCAATTAGGAAGCACTGGTGGAACTACACCAGGTTTCAGTCGAAGTCGATCCAATTATAGTTCGTCCAGTGTGTTCATCGAAATAACTTGGTGACCGTTGATAATAATCAGAGGATTTTAAGTGCAGTTCACAAACCTAAACACAACAAGTTCACTTGTTAGTTATACAATATGAGAATTTTTATTGTCTTTTATTCAAAATAAGTGGATGAATATGGTTTACATTTGGATTAGGATATAATTTTGATATATTGGTACGTTCCAAATAGCTTCATCACAATGGAATGTACTCCATGCAATTAATTTAGTTAATGTGATTATTCCAGTGTTGGTTTATGATTTAACATGGTTACTACTAGAAAATAAATGTCACTCGGTAAATAGAACTTTGCATTAACCCGGTAAGTGCCAATGTTTAATGTTTCTTGACAAATTGTTTAACGGCTAGTAAAAATTAGGACAAGTAAATTTTCAAATCTACCCGCTTATATATGCTGCCCTGATGAGTCATGTGTAATATGAGGACTAACACCTAGTGGTTCCAAGCCAGTGTTTTGGGACCGGGCAAAGTTTTTCATGCTCCAATCTTAACATGTTATTGTTATGTGTGGCAACAATGTTATGAATACATTTGTTATGCAAGTTCATGCCATGTCAAAGTTGGTAATAAGTTCCTTCCTGTGCTCGTGTGCTATGAGTCTCGGAGTGTTGTGGCGGTGGAATGTGAACCTCACCATCGTAGTGCCTCGTTACCACATTGCTGAATTAGTCTGCGTCCGATCACCCAGCCTTACCTCAACCCTGGTCTTGGCGAACACCCAACCAGGGGGGTGTCAAAACTTTGGATTGTGACTGTACTAGTAGTGCTTAACAGGAAAATGTCAACCTTAACATCTGTTTGTTAGCACTTAAAAGTTTTGTGTCTACCAGCCCAGGTCTATACCAAACTGCAGTAACCGCGAGTATCTCGACCATTATACTGACACACTGTGTAGCTATACAAGGTAGAGTATACAGTACAGGTCTATGATCTACAATACTGTACAGTACATGATCTTGAATACCCATAGAGTAGAAAAGTTAAAACAATATACCTTTGCTTTATATGTTGGGTTTGAGTCTGTGACAGAAGGGTCAGTGTGAAGAGTTACAGAAGCCACCTCAGCCAGCATGTTAAGCATTGAGAGAGCATCAGGACCTGCACAGCTCACACCCCCTGTGCGCACACCCTTTACAGGTGAACGTGTGCGTGGTGTGGATACAGGGGAGTCTTCTGGACGGGGTGCCATATTTCTGTGTACTGTATGATAAAAGAAAATAATTAGAACAGTACTGTAAATACACACTTGGGTAAACAAACCACAATACTTTTTGAGATGGAGCTATATTGTAGAACAATGTGCAGTCAAAAGGTAAATACAATTACAGTACCGTACAGTACTTTATGTATATAATTAATCTACTTACATCCTACATATGGTATTAACTTTCAAACATAATGAACCATTTTTATAGTGTCACTTAAATATAAAATGCCTTGATTTTCTAAAAGTCCTCATTTGGAGTGTGAGGAAAGACTTGTCTACCCTTCAATAAGGTGTACAAATCCCATGTATTGACCCAACATGTGCACCGTCTTCCTTTTCTAACATGTTACAATGCTGCTTTATATTGACAGTACCATATTAAACTGTATTAATTAACAAATATTCTCAAACTAAACATAATTGCTAATAAATGCGGTGTTCAACCTTTATCTACATCTTTCAAAAGATGCGTGACTTTGCTGGAGCGCTTCTTAACATTCCATTATCTGCCTGGCAGACGAGTCCATAGTTGTTGCCATACGTGATGACTACGGTCAACCACCACCACCCACGCTGTGATGCCTGTATACTGTATCTTTCTCATTTTTATTTTGTTTTCAATGTTATTTACATGTTATGTATATTATCATAAGGTATATTTTGTAGGAGCATTTTTTCACAATGGAGAGATATTTAATGATAATACAGTACAGGTACTCCTCGACTTACGACCTACTCAACTTACGACCACCTGGACATACGGCCGCTGCAGTCGTAAAAAATATCTTTCACATTACGTATTTTTGAGTCCCAACGCAAATGATCGCGCTGTGAACTGACAAAATTTTCGTTTGTAATTCCCTTTAAAATGGCTGGCAAGCTTAAAAGTGAGAGTTCTCGTGGTGCCGAGAAGAAAAGGACACACCCATTTTAAATTTTGCGTATTATTTTCGCCTTTTCGACTTACGACCAATTCGACTTACAACCTGGTCATCGAGACGGAACCCTGTCGTAAGTCGAGGAGACTGTATATGATATTTTTATGTTTGTTTATAATTTTGCAGAGAGTGGCTGCCTAGTGTACAAAATCTGGATACAGGAGGTCCCCGACTTACGAACAAGGTTAAACTTTAAATTTGCAGTATTTTATTTACCTGATGACTTATTTTTTACTTTCATTTACCTGTACTGTATTCTGTCATTATATTCAGGGCAGGATTCAGGCGTGGGCAAAGTGTGCAGCTGCCCAGGGGCCTCCACATATTACAATATTTTATTTATTTGTTTATTCATTTGGATTATTTTTATTTTCATTCTTTAAAATTCATGTTAATCTATCACTTGTGTGTGTGTGTATTGGGAATTTGTACACTATCAATAAATATACAGTTAATTAAAAATTTCTCAATGTTCTAATTTCCTCAATATAACTGCATATGGCTTCAAAATTCTCCAAATAAGTGTTCAAATTTCAAAATTTTCCCGGGGGGTCTTACAGCGTCCCCCGGAACTCCCCGATGTTTAGGCTCGCTTCACTTTCCACCCAAACCTCTTGGGTAGTAATAATGAGGGGGGCCTCCACAAAGAGGCTGCCCATGGGTGTCCACAGGTCTAAATCCGGCACTGATTATATTTCTTCTTTTCTCTTAAATTAAGTGATTTTAGATGTATATAAGGACTTAGGCTATGATATAGTGGGATAATAAATATTGTTCTGTAAGAACGGTATGCACATAGCTTGTGTTTCGACTTACCCTGTACATACATTTTCGACTTGAGAAAGTCCTCAGGAACGGAATCCGTTCGTAACCTAGGGACCCACTGTACAGTAAAATGTCGATATAACACGAGATAGGTTCCAAGAGAGGTCACTTTAAACTGAATTCGCACTAAATCAAAGTGTTGTTTCAATGGAATAATTTAGTTTGGTACTTGAGAGAAACACAAAATACTAAAAAGACTGAGAGTCTACCCAGATGCACCTCAGCCCATCTCCTAGAATAAACAAAACATTGTTTTTTGTAGTGTTATGTTAAAACAAACACTCGTAAATCAACACAGCTAAAATTAAGGGACGTGAAATGGTCTGTTTACTGACTGGGAAGATGGGGGGGAGGGAGGTGAGGTGATATGTTTGACAGTTGATGCCAAGGTCTAGTGCTTATTTATTTATGTCCTTAAGAGTGCCTTTAAGTTTTTCTCTTATAAAATGTCACTGAACTGACCTGGGAGAATATAATTAACATTGCTGGAATTCTTATAAGATAGTGATTATGTAGTTTAAATATATACATACAAATTTTAGTTCTAATTAATTTTATTACAAATGACTAAAATTTGTATCTCTTGCGCAATACATATGACGTTTATATTCAAATTATTCGCTGTCTTGCAAGGATTTTAGCAATGCCAATTATATTCTCCTAACTTTAGTCTGTGATGTTATATAAGATAAAAACTGTAAGCCTATAACCACCCAACCCTGGGGAGGAGGGAGGTGACAGTAACAGGATTGACAGTTGGCGCTGAAGGTCTAGTGAAGTATTCATTTGTTTATTTATGTTCTTTAGATTGAGTTTTTGTCTGTAAAATGTCATAGAAGAGACCGGGGAGAATATAATTTACAATGCTGGAATTCTTATAAGATAGTGATTAATTTGAATATAATCATGCTATAGTTTGCACTTGACAAAAATTTTAGTAATCATTTAGTACATTATTTTGAGTACAGTACAGCTTTGCCCTTAGGACAGTGTACCGTACCCAGAGAAACATTAGGCGCAACATTTTAAATATGATGCACCAGATTAACTCGTGTAAAATAAGAAAGATTCGCTTTAAATTAAAACATTGTCCTTAATTGTGGGTGTCGCTTTAAATCAATAATCCTAAATTAAATCGCTTTAAATCGATGTTCTACTGTAATGAGATAGACACCACCTGGAGCCCCCGCCACCCCAGGCAGACAAAAAGCCTACTGGTACTTTATTAGATTCTCCCAGGGAGCACAATTAATAATTCTGACATAAACCTTACCTATGATTCAAGACTGTGAGATATCTATCTAAGATTTTGCCGAGATGTTAAGTAAATACTCTGCTCTATGACATTAATTTTTTCTCAGTCACCTATAAAGTCAGTCAACATTATGTATAACTTACCAGATACTGAGGGGAATTGTGACAACAAGCAGACAGAAAATATGATGCTCCAATAAGCTGTCTGTTGCTGGTCTCCACCATCAAGTTTTCTGACTGGTCGTGTACACAGTAACAGTGTTGCCAGATCACATGTGAATTCCCTTGTACACCAATCATGAGTCTTCCCAGATCATACATGAATTTTCTCAGCTGACAATCATGATTGAAAATTTAAAAGTTTGCACTGTCAGTGCAGCATTGGCCACCAAACCCATTAATATTTATGTTTTAGCAATTAAACTTAGGTGCACAATGAAGTACATACAGTTGTTGCAAAATTTTATGGCAAATTTGCCACCCCACTGTAACCAGCCGCCCTTTGGCCAGGGCCTAGTTGGTCTGTTCAGAAATCTGGCCCTGTTGATATAATACTGTAGTACTGTAGTACAGTACATATTCATTTGATGGCATCCACTTGTAGAGAGCTCCTTGAAGGGGAAAAATTGTTTGTAGTTGCAACCTAATACAGGTTGAACCTTGTTAATCTGGGAAGCTCGGGACCAGACCGGTTCCATATTATCAAAAATTCTGAACCATCGAAGCAGAGATTAAAAAAAGGCCCTGACCGATGTACCACTGTCTAATTTCTTCAGTATAAACACCTTTTCTAAAAAAGTTCATGTCACTTGCTTACATTTTGCTGCATTACAACCACTTCCACTGCTTGCTGCTCTCTTAGGAGGCATATGTAGAAGTAAATTATAAGTACAGCTAGACCCCGACTTAAGACGGGGTTAGGGACCCAAATCCAGGTCGTAAGTCCGAATGGTCGTAAGTCCGACATAGATAAAAAAAAAAAAAAAATTAAATAAAAAATCTACAATGAAATACAGTACAGTGAAAGTAATAAATAATAAGGAATGGATACAGTGTGACTGAGCACTTAACCTTTAATGTAGTCAGCTGAATGCACATGGGGCCCCCATAATTTTCTAATTATACATGGAGACTACATTAACTGGATACGTTTCGGTATAGAAAATGCGTGTGTCATTTTGAAAAAAAAATTAAAAAAAAAAAGGTCACAACTGCGGCGGTCGTAAGTCGGGGTCTAGCTGTATTTAAAGGTAAAATACTGGCAACAGCCACTAGAAGTGAGCTATGACAGACGTCCCAAACCATCAAAACTGCCGGACTATCGGGTCCTGAATTAGCGGGGTCCAGCCTGTAGTGATATCTATGTTAGCCAAAACAAGTGGTGCAGAGCACTTACGGGAATGACAGATTTTCAGGTAATGAGACGACTTTTCCAAACCCGGAAAAAATCCCACATCCCCGGAATGTTTCCGGATGCAGTACGTACTGGGAAAAATCTCTCGGAATTTTTCAGGAATAGCGCATCACAGTCTCTCCTCGACTTATGACGGGGTTCCGGACCGACGGCCAGGTCGTAAGTTGAATTGGTCGTTAGTCGAAAAGGCAAAAATAATACATAGAAAATCTAAAAATGGCAGGCGCATTTTTGGGAAATTCTGATAAACTTTTCCCAGAACCCAGAAGAATTCTGGGATGGGGATTTTTTCCGGGTTTGAGGGATGGAATAATGCGTCATTCTGGAAAATTACGGTGATGAAATATAGGTACTCCCCGACTTACGACCACCCAGACATTTGAGTCCCGACGTTAGTGATCGCTTTGTGTACTGACAGAATTTTCGTTTGTAATTCCCTTTAAAATGGCTGGCAACCTTAAAATTGAGAGTTCTCGTGGTGCTGAAGAAAAAGCGACATTTTTATCCTCAGAATTTTGCTCAGAATCTTCCAGAAATTGTGCCCCTCGGAAAATCATTCCCA